CCGCTGAGCTCAACGGATCCTCCTCCATCCTATGCCCTCCGCAGGGAGCGTGCCCGGTCGGTCCCTCCGCGGAGCTGGGAGGCTGGCGTAGGGCCTCTCCCGCCGTTCCCTTGTTAGCGCTGTGCCCGCGGTGCTTCGGTGTCGGGTCCCGCCAGGTCTCCGATCGGAGACCGCTGGTGAGCGTCAGTTACCGCTCGTATCAGAAAAGTTGTTAAATAGTGATCCGAACGTGCGTTCCCAGCCTGATGTCATGGTCGGAAGAGTTACCGTGACTTTAGGGATGTATTCCCTGGAAAATGTGGAATGAGAGAATGTAATTGTAGTCCTTAGGAATAAGAGAAGTTACGACTTTTTGGTACCAGTTATGGTGGTTTGAAGTACTACGCAGGAAACTGCATTTTGTAGGCATGTCGCCATGTTTTCTTTTCTGCTTGATGTTTCAAAACATCACCAATTTCTCAACTTTCTTCCTGGGGTGTGAACAGCAGACCCAGTCGGTGTGTCGTTGCTAAGAGCTACAAACGTCTTCTCAGTTACCCATAACCCCTCACTGGGAGTGGTTTTGTTTCCCTAGTTATAAACTAACTCTTTCAGTCAGTCCAACTGTTCTTGTCTTAACTTCTTATTTTGTAACTTTGCTGAGTCCTTTTGGGGTAAAACACTTCTGACGCTCTCAGAATACACAGCGTCTATAAATAGTTACAGTTAATTAATTTTCGGGCAGCTGCAGGCATGTGGAAGAATGAGGATGCTATAGAGAGTGTGCTTTTTGGTTGTTTGGTGGGTTTTTTTTTTTTGGTTGTCTGGTGGGGTTTTTTTGGTTTGGTGGGTTTTGTTTTTTTTTTTTTTTTCGGTTGTTTGTAATAATTTCCATTATGTAGGCACATGTAAATCTTGATGTGTCTGCTGTGGAGTTTTCTTTTTACTTATAAAATAGTTCTATAACTGAAAAGTGGGAGGAAATGAGCTTTTGGTTTGTAGAGAATTTTATTCTTCACATAGTAACATGTTGTTTTGTAATGTTAGAGATTGTAGTGAATAAATCTGTTTTTGAAAGCTCGTTTATTTCAAAGCATTTATTTTTAATACTACCATGGCTTTTATTCTCTAACATGCTGTCTTTTGCATTTTTCTTTAAATTTATTAGCCTTACACTTTAGTGACAGTTAAGAATTGACTGGTTGGATTTGGGGTGACAAGGGTACATAGAAGATTCAGTCTTAGCAGACATTTCTCTTAGAGTTATAATGTTTTTTTGGAAGAGATAAATGAAGAAATGATAATTCAGAAAAGAGAATTTAAAATTGGTGTAGATTCTTATTGTGAAGTTGCCTTTTTTTTTTTGTGTTTTAATTCCTGGTCAGAAAAGTAAGTCAAGCTAAGTTAACCTAGGTATCAAAAATAGCTGCTGTTTGGCAAATTTATGATTTTTATTAAGTTCCTTTTTAGTGTACACTTCAGGTTCAGCATCATTATTTTTAGTGGTATGTGGGATTCTTTAAAACAGAAAATTGTTGGAACATATAAGTTCTGTTTATTATAGACTATTTAATACACAGAAAAACACCAAATGTTTTCTTGTTTTTGTGGTGACTCTCTCTCTCTTTTCCTTTAGTATTCAACATGTGTATGGAGCTCAGCATCCACCTTTTGATCCATTATTGCATGGAACGTAAGTTAACTTAATATTTAAATATTCCACGTAACTTGGATCTTCTCTGGTGTCTCTCCTCTTTTTCTTCCCTGTTGGCTATAAAGCTTACTGTTAGTTTTCCTTTTTCAATTTTTGTCATAATCTTGACTTCTCTGTTCTAGCTTCTCTGTTGTGACTTCCTGGTGCTTACCATATTGGGAGCAACAAATCAACTGTTCAGTTCTTAACTGACATAGATTGCCAACTTTTATTATCTGTTTATGGTGCCTTGTAAATTGGAAATTGTATGGTAAACTAACCCTAATTTAGCAGGTGAAACTTACAGCTCAGGTGTAGGCGGCTTTACTGCATGCCTCTTTCTGTCGGTGGACTGCCTTTATTTGTCTTTCTATAACAGAAAAGCGTTAGGTTGTGGTGTAGATCACTTTGAGGCAAAAGTGAGCATTTTGCTTGTGAGTGAGAAGACAGTAGGTAGAACAGATTTTACAGTGATTTAAGAGTTTGTTGCCTTAGATCATGATTGTTGGGTATCAGAACACAATGTACCTGAAAATGGCAGTGTTATGTTAAACGTCATTGGTAACCAAATAAATTTCATGCTGATAACCCACAACTAATGCAAGTGAATGATTTTCAGCTTATGGTTGAGGTGCTTAGCAAAATGCTGCATTCTGGCAGCTTCTGCTTTTTATATTTTGCTTTATTATGGTTTTTTTTTTTAAAGATTGTTTGTTTTAAGCTTTGTGAGGGACAAAGTTGTTTCTGGTTTGCTGGTAGATTTCACAGTTGCTTTGAAACCAGCATTGCTGTTAAAACATTGGTATGTGTGACAATTTTGTGAAAATTGTATGACCAATGAAATAAACGGCCCAAAGCAGTAGGGACGAAAAATAATGTTAGAAGAAGAAGTATTGGCTTCAAAGAGATCATAGTTCTAGTGGATTTTTCAAGGGCTGGTTTGAGATGGCACAAAAAGTGAATGTGTGCTAGTTGATTTTCAGGTGATCCAGAGTTGAAGGCAGTTGAAATGTGTGACCTTGAGGACGGAAGAGAAAGGAAGGGCATGAATTGATTCAAAATGTGGAGTCATAAAGAGAGACCCAATAACAAAAACTAGCTTATTGCCTGAAACGGTGACAAAAGAGGAGAAAGACCTTGCTGTTTTAGACAATGATGACAAGTGTTAGCGTTGTAGCACCTATTAGGAAAGACATTCCCTGTAATGCATAACATTGTGTGAAGACTGTGTGAGAACTTTTTTTGATTTCCAATTTTGCCTGCCTTGTCTTAACACAAAAAAGCTAAACTAGCACAAGTGGAAAGATAGGGATGGTCAGAAAGGGCAATGAAGTTAATGGCAGTAACTTTTTTTTTGAGAGCAGACTGGGCAACTCTCTCAACTTAATGCCTTATTTAGCTGAAATCTGAAAGGAGATGTGATTGCTCTGCATTACTGTAAGTGAGAAGAAGTGCCAAGCTGGGGAAGGATACTTACTTAGTTGCTCTTATACTGTGTGTTGACAGAAGGACAAAAGGTTAGGAGCTGATCAGAGTACACTTAGGCTAGTAACTAGAGGACTTATCCTCCTATGAGAGGAGCAAAGTTCTGAAGCAAATTCATGCTGGAGTGCCTGAATGGGGAGGAATGATAGATCTAATGAGTTTTAAGGTGAGACTTGATTTGTTTATGACAGTGATTATATTACATGATTGCTTATGATGACTTAGGAGTAGAACTGATTACTTGATTACTGCTCCTGTGTTGTTATGCAGCAATTGCATTGAAAGACCTGAAATCTCTGCGGAAGTTCATGAAGCAAGAGAAGCGTGATGTGTCTTGTCTATCTTATAAACTGTTCCAGTAGTATTTGTTTTATTTGACTTTGGGGTGGAACTTTTTTTGCAGGGAGTGTTTTCCTGGTTGGAGTGTGGTTGTTTGTTTTTTTTTTAATACAAAGGAAAGAAAGATTTGTTCAGCTTCTATTCAAAGCCAAGAAGAGCCAATTTTTAACCGCTCTCGCTCTCAGACATATTCAGCTGTGTGTTATCATGGGTGGATGTAGCAGTAACATGAGTGGAGGGAGATAAATATTTGCTACCTATATAATGTCAAGCATGGACTTTTGTTTTTTGCCCCTATCCATAGTGTTTTGCTTACCTCATTACTAGTTCATTACAAATGTTATTTGTTTTTGAACAGCTTGATAAAACCAGGTTCAAAGCCACCTACAACTCCAGTGAAACTAAAGAAAGTCAGCACCTTCCAAGAATTTGAAAGTAACACAAGTGATGCTTGGGATCTTGGGGATGATGATGATGAACTCTTAGCAATAGCTGCTGAAAACTTAAATACAGAAGTGGTCATGGAAACGGCTCACAAAGTAATTCAGAATCACAGCAAGTTACAGGAACAACATAAATTTCAGGAAGAACATCTACAGGAAGAAAAACAAGTAGAATCTCCAGAGCTGACTTCAATTGCGTGTGGTGATAATAGGCTTGTTAAATCAGTCAGTGAAGGTCATACATCAACTTCATCAGGTATGTTAAAAAATGAAAAAGATTTTGAAAATCGAGTGAGGAGAGCTATAATATTCGCCCTTTGAGACATTAACCCCTTTTCAACCTTTTCTTAAAACCACAGAAAAATATTATTAATCAATATTGATTTATTTGCTTTATTTACTGCATTCCGTAGTAAAGCATGTGTGTGAGAAAAACATGGGCGAGGAAAGAATCATTAAACTTTTTTGTGTTCAGCCTTAATGCATCCTCAGTTTTGGAAGGAAGTTACACTATTGAATGTATTTTAATGGTTAATTGCACCAAGGTGTGTGCAATTAATAGTATTCCTACTATTGTGAAAAATTATTAAAATGCTATTGTATAAAGTATATTGAAAAACTGAGGAAAACCATTAATGTGGACTGGGAATTTCATTGTCGTGATCTGGTCTGTGTTTTATGTGTAAACTTTAAAGTAACCAATTGCAATGATTTCCCATTCTTTTTTTTTTTTTTTTTCAGAATGGTGTGTGGGATAGAAACAGCTTTCAGTAGCACAGAAACTTTAGAAATCAATAAGCCTTGCTATTAGTATGATCTCTAGTTGATACATTTTCATTGTGGAATACTGCTTGGAAGAGGAATGTTCCTCCTGCTAAACCCAAGTCATTTGAAGTCCAGGCTTTTGCTGTACTTGAGCTTACATTTCTACAAAACATTATTCTATTTTAAATTTACAAGTTAAGTTCAAGGTATTGGTAACCTTCTGACTGATTGGGGCTAACTGTTATGCTTCTTTTTCCCTTCAGATAATGCTAGTGAAAATTCTTCCATGCAGAGATCACAATCCCTTCCACAAACTTCCACACCTCCCTTAGTGAGTGGAATGGCAGACTATAATACCTCAGTTACTCCTGCATTAACTGAAAGAGAAGCATCTCGATTAGACAAATTTAAGCAGCTACTCGCTGGCCCCAATACAGATCTTGGTGAGTATTTCTCATAGGAGCTATGAATTACATCTAAACTATTCTTTAACTATAAAATTTCCTGTTTGCTGTACTGTTCTGCCTGATGCTTTGGTTAGGGTCTAATCCTTTCAACATTTAAAGTTGATTTTGCAAAAGAAAGACAATATAATTGAATGCTTGTAGTATTCATTCTTGTAATGTGCAATTTGCATACATCCTGCTAATACATAGAGTGTTAGATGGCTTCTTGTTCTTTTCTTTCTAACATTATTTCTTTCTACTGGACTAAGCTCTGGAGAAAAAACAAAGTATAATTATCTGTGTTTAGTGTTAATGCCTCATAATGGAACAGCATGCAGTATAAGAATGATTCTCATGCTTAGAAATACGAATGTTGAAAACAATGAGGCATGGAAGTGTTACTGCTTGTCTACTCAGTGAGCGTTCTTCATGTTCACAGGCTGATACAGTAGTTCTGTGTCTCATCTGTGAACGCTGACAACATGTTAATGTGAAAACAAATGCATTGTCGGATAGCTTGACTGTTCCCTTTTGTGTACTGGATTTTAACTGCTGAATAGTAAATGCAAGTGCTGAGAGGGTATCACAGAATCAAATGGCTTTGTATCCTAAGTGGAAATCTTGAGCAAGTGGAAATAGTACACTGCATGTGGAGAGCTTGACTGGTCACTCAGACCTAGGAGTTTATGTCAAAATAATTAATAAACAAAATCGACTTTGAGTTAGACCATTCTGGAAGATATTTACAGGACACTCTTATGGAAGGAAGTAGAAACTGCATGTTTACAGTTCTTGAATTGATGCTTTCCTGCCCTGTAGTTGTCATGAGACTCCTTCAGTAGAATATGGTCCAAGGAGTGGCTTTTTTTTGTGTGTGCTGTGTCTTATTGGCAGTTTGCTAGCAAAGCAGAACTATGGAAACAATGCTAACTAGATGAGACTTAACACTTCAGTGAGTTATAGGACATTATTGTAAAATGCAACTGTGAATGAACTCTGAGGTCTTAAAACAAATTACATATTTTATATTAGCTTAAAAATGATAATCAAATATCACTTTTTCCCCCTTTGATCATAACAGATGTTATGAGCTATGTGATTGGGACTGACATGAAAACTCATGTAACTTTTAAGAATGTTGTAATGGTAGAAGTCTTTTCCATAAGGTTAAAAAGTCAGAGAGAGGACAAAATTTAATTAAAAACTGTCCATTTCACTGTTACTGTCTAATTAGATGTGAATACTTTCCCAGTAAATCAAATTTAGGGGATTAAGTAAAATATTTTGGAAAGGAGGGAAAGAAAATTTCCACTGTTATTGGGAGTGCAGTCACCCTGACTACGGTGAGAGTTTAGTCAATATTACTTAAACTGTTTTGTTTTTTTCCCCAACTGAACTTTCTAAATCTCACACAGAAATATTCATAGGAATACGAAATTTGAGTATGTTGCTCTTATATCTAATGACATCTCAGTATTGTTTCTTGTAGATATCAATAAATCATGCCTTTTCCACATCTGTTTATAGGAAGCTTGTTCTTTTTCTTGCTGTGCGAACTGTAATGAGTACAGAATTTGAAGTTGTGTTGGAATTTTAAGTCCCATTTTGGTATTTTGATGCAAATACTTTGACTTTTGTATCTGAGATGTATCCAGTAGGATTTCCTAATAAATCTAAAAGTAAGTCATGGTTTTTCCTAGTGAAAGAAATGAACTCTTTGTTGATGACACGCAAACTCTTGATGATCATGAAGCTAGTAGTGGTAGATTATGTGTTGGTAGTGTTTGGACTATTTATATGTATATAGTAGGGAAAGTGTGTGTGGATATATACATATACAAACATGTGCATGCATACGACCATATGTACAGTTCATTAGAATCTGTTTTGTCCATGTGTGTATGCATCTTTGGGAGTTGTTTGGTTTAGCTCCGTGTTACAATGAAGACTACGTTTAAAAAGGAATCTTGATTTAATGACAGTAGTAGCCTGGGAAGCTGTTGCGGGTTGTGTGTGGTGGGGTCGTCGTCGTTGATTTGGGTGTGTCTGTGGTATTTTGTGTTGCTTTTTTTTTTCTTCAGAGTAATACTGAAAATGGGCCAAGGTGGAATTAGGTAACAGGCTCCAAGCTAAGATTTGTAGTGAGTAATGAAGGGACAGGTAGATACTCTATTGCAGCTGGCTCATTTTCGTTGTGTGTATGAGATGTTGTGATACGTGTGGGTCTTTGTTTTTTGTTAGATCCACAGATAGTTGGGTTTTGTTTGTCATGATGAATTGAATTAGTGTCATAGTCTTGGAGTCATTGTAGCAAATATTTCTGTTCATTTCTGCATGTAGTAGTGATGGTTTTGCTAGGAAGTAGTAGTAGCAGAAGTAAAGTGTTGACTTTGTTTTCTTGGTATAATTTTGTATATTGTTGAAAGAGATTATGTGACTAGTCCTTTCAAAGCAATATAAAAATAAGTTAATCTGTGGAACTGAAACAATGTCATGCACATTTTCAGCTGAAGGCTTTTCTCTTGTCATAATGTGAGAAATCAACATAGACTGAAGAACACGAAGTAATACAAATGACCTTGAAATCCTTTCAGTCACACTTGCATAATGATTATCCTATAAAGACAGTGTAAAATACAATGTTAATCTTGTATGTCAACTAGAGGTTCTGAAAGAGTAAGAAAACTCTTAAAAAGATTGATTACGCATACAAATTTGAAAGTGAGGGTTATTTTAACCATTGAAGTCCACTAACAGATTTGGGAGTTGAGTTTGGTCCATAGGATCGATATTGTGAAGTTGTGGGAATAGGTAGGTTCTATCAATCCCTTCAAATCACACACTGAGCAAAATAACATGCCAGATATAGTCTGCAGTTGGAGTATGAGTCCACTGGTAAATATTACATGGATAATGACAGAACCATTCTCAAAGTTTCTGTGTACAGTTTTATCCAGCAGACACTTAGATACACAAATAGTTATCAGAGCAAGGCACAAACCAAAAACACAAACTAGGAAAGGAAGAAAAAAAACCCCAACCCAGAGTTCTCAGACTATAAAAAAATTAATCCTTGTAGGTCACCTAACTCTTATTTGCAAGTAAAGAGCCTATTTCCCTGGCTCAAAAGTGCCCTTTACTTATTTTTTAATGCTTCATAGAGCTGAACTAATAAACTTGCTCTTATAATCTATAATTGCCCTTGCAGTTGTTCTGAGTCTTCCCTTAAGCCCTCCTAACACACTGTGCTTCTCTGTCCTGCAGGCATTTTTGTTGTTTGCATGATAAACAGATGCAAATAATATGCTTTATTTCCATTTGGCACTTTTTATTTGACTGTTGCTATGCTGTTATTACCTCTAATATAAATGGGGAAAGTATAATGTGAATTGGATGTCAAGAGTAGTTAACTATATGAAAAAAATACCAAAACCAATTCCTATAGAAATGTTACTTCTGGGTATATGATTTGCACTGCAGGAGAGAGGCATTCAAGAGCCCTGACAACATACCTTCAAGTAGTAATATAATGCAGAGAATGGGGAGATGGTCTTGGAAAGTTAAAATTACGAAATGAAAGCTGCTCAACAAGCTGAACCGTGTTACCACAAGAAATGTGGGCTGGTAGAAGGAGCCTGTTGTAAGAAGCAGTTTTGGTTGGAGAGGGACTTGAGGACTGACCCTGGTCAATTAAATCGTGTTGAGGTATACTGGGTGCAAATCAGGAAGCAGGATAGGACTGGAGGTAGCAGTACGCGTGTATTTAGTAGACAGCTGCAGAGTAGACTGTAGGGCTTGAGTGTCTGCATAGCCTCCTGCTCCTGGTACCGCATGCCAGGTTATTCAGAGAGAAGAGTTCGTGCTAGTTGTTTTGTGCCATCAGCCAGTACTTATGCTTGCCTTGCAGTCAATTTGATGTGGATTTACTTCATTTCAGGCCTTGTCTTTCCTTGTAATGGACCTTGGGTTACTCGGTGAAGATGGGCTCTGTGCCTGCAGAATCTTTTGAAATGATTATTTTAAGAGGAGGGAGGGGATGGGACTTGAACAAATCAGTGTAGGAAGAACGTGTCTGAGAAGAAATTTCTCTTTCCAACAGATCGCTGTTTACATATTTAAGAGGGACAGTACTGCTATCTCTGTCTGGTTTCTAATTTAAGTTTAATTCTATTAAATTTTTTAGACTTACGTTTTTAAGTAGTCGTGTACAAAGTTTTAGGGAGTTATTTGCTGTGCAAACACAATGTAAGCAAACTATGCTGATAAAATCAGACTGGCTTACAACAACAAACAGGTTATCTCATACTTGTAGCCTCAGCATAGCAGAGGTATGATGGGTATTGTACTATCAATTTAAAGAATAGCTTATTAAAGCACTTCCTCAACTCCCTCCTTATCTTGAAATCAACTAATTTTCTGCTTTTTTTTTACACACTTGCAGCTAACAAGTATGTAATTGGATGTGAGAAACGTGTTTATTTAAATCAAACAATAACCATCAGTAAGCTTGGTGTACTGTGTTCTCTTGATTTAATAAAGCTTCATAACACTGTAACGCTACTGTTATGCAATGTGGCACGTTATATCAAATTTTTCAAAGTCAAACCAACTAATTTCTTAAGATGTAAAGTTGTTCTGCATGTCAAGGTGAATTTTCTTTCTACTTGATCGCAACATGTTCCAAGTTGAACAAAATAACATATTGAAGTTTTAGCATACCTCCTTGGTAAAAATAATAGAAGGCCCTGTAAAAGCACCCATGAAAATAGTGAAGCATTCCTATCTTAGTTTACTCATATTGCTGTATCTTACATTTACCTTCAAAAGCTCTGTTTCTCTGCAGTTTTTTAAACTCATCCATTTCTCTTACTTATTCTCAAAAAATCTCTAAAAAGAAAACCTTTGCAGAGAGCACCGCAAGCTGCTGAGTGGGGTGCTGTCTCTTAGCCAGTACTTTGCTATAAAAGTAGATAATAGTGTGAAGTCTTAAAGAACAC